TTTGGGGCTTCTTAAGACAATGGCATTTCTTTTGTAGGAGCTTTAAAGAGCAGCCTGGGCTGCCCAGTCTTTGGAGTGGAGGGGCTTACAGCTCTGGCTCTGGGCACAGACCGTTGCTGCTTCTCTCTGGCTCCTGCCTGAGCCCCCTGGGGGTTTTAGCCTCTCTCATGCCTCTACCTTTGACACAAATACTTTCTCAGCTCTGCTGGTGCCTCAGCTCCCTTTGAGTCTGACACAAGGTGGCCCATCTTTCTGAGACTTGACTTCTGGGCATTTAGGACATATTACTTGGGTCCAACTCTCTCAGTAGTCCAGGGTCATCCAGACAGGGTGGCACCTGGGTGTTTCTGAAGGCCTTTTCCTGCAAAAGGGGAAACGGTAGCTTCTGGTACTTTCTCTCTCAAAACCCTGACCATCATGGGGTTTATGAGAGAGAGAATTAGGAGAAGAGAAGCAGGATTCCCTAGTGTGAATACTATGTGGGTCGACAATTGGCACAGAAGGAGAGAAATGTGACACAGAAGGATGATTCTGGGTGTATGACTGGGAGATTTGTCTTGTCTTTACTTTTCCATACGCTCTAGATTTTCTACAATGAACAAATATTAATTTTTAAGGAAAAAAAAGATTTACAAAATGTTTATCTGGAAACTTGCAACCAATAAGAAGAATATTTAAAAGATTGGAAGGAAAACACTCTCAAAATTCTCTTTGCTTCTTTCTGGGTAGAATGTCATCTGATCCTCTGAATATGAAGTTCGTACTGCGCCCACCCCCAGTCTCCCTGCTCTCCTTGCCCTGTTTTCTTCTTCATACTATTTATTATGACCTGATGTGTTTTATGCTTGTTGAATTATCTTTTTTCTGCTTTCCCCACTAGCATGGAAACAACACAAGAACAAGCGCTCTATCAGTTCTGTTTGTCTCTGCCACCCAAAGCAGATCTGGCATTAAAAAGGTCTGAGCCCAGTATGTGTTTGTTGACTGAATGAATGGTCAGCCTGGTAAGTGATTTTAATTTTCTTCTTCATACATTTCTAAGATTCCAGCTGTTTTCCAATGAACTTTTATTACTTTATGAGCAGAAAAAAATGAATCAATATTATTTTTTCCTCCATGGAAATAGCACAATGGGGTGACATCTCAATTATGATATCTGAGAGTAAGCTCCTTTTATAAGGAAGCTGGCATTCTTTTAAGTCTCAAAAACACTTGAGAAATCCATGGGTGTGAGTCATATGTCTGCCTGGCTGGACTCCTGCTGAGCTGGGTGAGAGCACAGATGTGCAGAGAAAGCTGCTCATTGTCGGCAAGGCCCCCAAGGTACACAGGGCCAACTGTGAGAATTTGCTCCGCAGGAGGCTAGCTGGAAGCCTGTGTTCTGTGTGTCTTTCTTTCTGCATCTGCTCACCCTTGGATCTTTGGTTAGTAGGTATAGAGGCATGCTTGCCAACAGGGTTCTTGAAATTTGATACAGTCCACCTGAAATAGATCTCCAGAATTAGATGCTTGCTCTCTCCTCCATGGGGTCTCTGCTTCCCTGGGAAGATAAGTGGGGGCTGGTCTGGTTCCAGCTGTTGAAGCTTCTGAGGAGGAATGAGGCATTTTTTGTCCTCAGGCATCTGGGGCCTGTCCTCCAGGATGGGTCTGCCAGGCTCTTCCTGTTCCCTGTTCCTTCCCTTGCTAACCTTCTTCCTCTAACTTAATTATTTGCCATGCAGTCCCCAGAGCGCCTGTTTTCTATGCTCAGGGACATGTTTTTTTTTTTTTTTGGCTGCACTGTGCTGATTGTGGGATCTTAGTTCCCCAACCAGGGATTGAACTTGGGCCCACAGCAGTGAAAGTGCTGAGTCCTAACCACTGGATGGCCAGGGAATTCTTGAGAACATGGCTTCTTTAGATGATGTTCAGTGATAACCTCAAACCACAGCTCAACTTGCCTGCCCTCTTGGAAAACCTCTCTATGCTCTTTGAAGCTTTCTAGCCTCTGATGACAGCATTTCTGACCACACAATCCATCATGGAATTGCAGCATTCTCATTAGTGGGATTTCAATTTGCAATCCTTTCTAAATTCTTTTTGCATATCTTTCTATGATGGGCATGTTCTCCTTTCTCTGCCCATCCAGACTTCCAAATGTTGTGTTTACGCAACCCGTGCAAGGAGGTTCATGCCAGTAGAAGCAGTGGACTCCTAGTTGGGCTAAGGGATACCTATTTCTACAGAGCTTGCTTGAGCTGTATTTCATTTCATCTACATAATGTGTCAGTTGACATCCTGGTTTATTTGCACCTCCTTTCCTCATTTTGAGAGAAGTCCAAGGCTCTGAAAATTCCTGTGGACTCTAGGGCACTGACACTCTGAGGTTCCGTTTAGTTCTGAGTCCCTCCCTGCATCTTTAGTACTGTTGCAGGAAGGGGGACCCCTTCCAGGGCCCGAAACTGGGCTCTTGTCTAACACTCGGAAATGAATTGTCCGAGGAGACACATGCTGACAAAGCAAGAGATTTTATTGGGAAAGGGCACCCGGGTGGAGAGCAGTAGGTAAGGGAACCCAGGAGAACTGCTCTGCCGCATGGCTTGCAGTCTTGGGTTTTATGGTGATGGGATTAGTTTCCGGATAGTCTTTGGCCAATCATTCTAATTCAGAGTCTTTCCTGGTGGCGCATGCATCGCTCAGCCAAGATGGATGCTAGCGAGAGGGATTCTGGGAAGTGGACAGACATGCGGTGTCTCCTTTTGACCTTTCCCGAACTCTTCCAGTTGGTGGTGGCTTATTAGTTCCGTATTCCTTATCAGGATCTCCTGTCATAAAACAACTCATGCAAATGGTTACTATGGTGCCTGGCCAGGGTGGGTGGTTTCAATCAGTGTGCTTTCCCTAACAGTACCACTGAGATTGTTTGCATCCCACCAACTCAGATATGTGCCTTGACTTTGTTTTCCCCTAGAATCAATTACACAAAACACTTATTTGATATATATTTATTTATTTGGCTGCACCAGGTCTTATTTGCAGCACATAGGATCTTCAATCTTCCTTGTGGTGTGTGGATCTATTAGTTACGGCAAGTGGGATCTAGTTCCTTGACCAGGAATCAAACCCAGGTCCCCTGCATTGGGAACGTGGAGTCTTAACCACTGGGCCACCAGGGAAGTCTCCAAAACATTTATTTGAGAAGCTGACTTTATTGAAAAGGATAGATTAAAAATATTTTTATTCATAATTCACCTCAAAAGTTGCTGTACAATCACAACTTTGATCCCTCTTTGGCTAACATCTGTTGAAGAAGATAAATCTAGATTTTTAACAACTTCTACCATTAATTCTGGAAAGGATGGACTTCTTACATCACAGGACAAACGGTTTTAGCATTAGTTATTAGATATCCCTGCCCACCACCAGTTTTAAGAACTGCAAAATCTCGGTAACCTACCTCTCCCTCTGTGTTCCCATCATCTTTCACATTTTTTTAGCTGCCTTACTGATGGAAAAACCATCCAGCATAAACAACCATCATAAAAAAAACATCCCGGTAGCTGGGACTCCTCACAGATCCCTCTCTCCCCAGGCTCAGCCTCCACTAAGTGCCTCGGTCCCCCTTCTCCTCTCCAGAATCTGCTGCCAGTTATGCCAGCCCTGCCCCCTTTCCCCTCAGAGCAGAAGGGAATAGAGTCACTTTTGTTTTTAAACAAGTTCTCCAGCCTCCTATAATTAACATAGAACACAAAAACAAAAAGAACAGAAGAATGAAGGCATCTGAAATCCTCACAATATACAAATGTAGAGGAGAGCCACTATTACCATCTCTTTCTCTCTCTTTCTCACATTCAACTCTCCAGCCTCAGGCACAAATGCACACAGGCTTTCCCACCCAAGAGACAACTTCATGCCTACTTCTATCCACAGCTTTAAATGGATCTTCTATGGATTAACTATGACCTTGGATCACGACAAAATCTCATGTTGATCCATGATTGGTCTTTCACTTTATTTACCTATTGATATACTCATGAACCTGCTGCTAGTTTTAAGACCACCATATTTATTCTGTTGCCTCCTTTGCTCTCCACCCTTGAGAGGTTTATCTTCTTGAGTTTTGTGTTTATTATTACCAAACATAAAAAAGTAGCTGTATCCCAAATTTTGAGAAAAGTCAAGGAGAGACCATCTACTTTTTAAGAAGAACAGTAAGAAAGGGAGACTTTCCTATCAGATATCAGTGATGTAATGGGGCTAGGAAGACTGGGTTAGCCATCCAACTCAACGTTCATCTCCCACTTTCCAATCCCTTACCCTCCTGGATTCTAGAAGCAACTAGAGGAGAAGTCCTGGCATCCCCACAGAGAGGCCTGGAAACCATACTCACACAGTAGGCTAGACAGAGATGGTGATAGACTGACAGCATTAAAAAGCCATCCTGGTAGCTGGCAGGTTTATATGGGGACAAAGAACATGGCTTCTGAGATAGGAAGATACACTGTGGATCCCAAGATCTTGCAGTATCACTCACCCTTACACGGCTTTATAGGGTCAAGACAAAGCAGAGCTGGGGACAGAAGGACAGTCTTTAGATTAGATGACTTCATCCTGCAGCACGGCCTCTGCTCTGAACTGCTCAAGCTCCTCACTGTCCTCGCCGAGGGGGCACGGCTGGCACTCAGCACGGCTTTTGGCACTCCCAAAAGCCCTTTTCTAGGAGGAGCAGCAATGGTACCAGAGGATGCAGAGGCCATAGACAATGGCCAGCATGACAACTCCCAAGCCCAGGAGCCAGCAGAAGAAGGTGGTGACAAAGGCGAGGTCCACTGGGCTCTCTGTCTGCCAGGGCTGCAAGGAGAGTGGGGCATGCAGCATCAAAGTCACCACTAGCATCCAGGAGCCAGACACCAGCATCAGCCAGGCCTTGAGCTCTCAGAATGAGAGCTGGTCGGGGCCCAGACCTTGATGGTGAGCACCAGGGCCAGCAGGAAGGCGGGCAGCATCAGCATGGTGTGCACTCAGAACTCCAGGGCGTTCCTGTGCTCAGGGAGGGCCACCATTTCTAGCACTATCACAACAAGGGACAAGGCTGTGGCCACCCACTCCAGCTTCATACTCAGCTGCGCCAGCCACACCTGGCTCGTGAGATCCACCAGGGCACTGAGCAGGAAGAACGCAATGATGGTGGCATGCTGCCATGCATTATGATGCTGGAAAGGCCTCCGAGGGTCCTCCCAGTCTATTGGGAGAAAATGGTTGGTTCCAGGTGAGAAGAAGAACTCTCCCAAGATCAGTATCATGCCGGCTCCCATCTTCACCACTGCCTCTGCATGCACTCGTTGCCACACCTCTAGCCTTGCTTGTCCTTTGGGGGGAGTGGGAGGAAGAGGAACTTCTGCCCCCATGAGAGGGCCTGGGAGACCATCACTGCACAGTAGAGCCCAGTGGAATAGACGAGCAGGGCCAGAGTCAGGTGACCCAAGGGAGTGCCCATGCCTCGGCCAGCAGCTGCTGGAGGGCCAGGGCTTATGCGTGACTTTCCCCACCTCTCAACTCTCAGAAGAGGCCCTGTGGCTCCACCTTTGTTGCCCACACAGGGGGAGGGCACAGGCCCCACGTGGGCCCACGTCATCTTCAGGTAACTGAGCGCTGGCCGGGCTCATCCCTAATGGCCGGGTCCCAGAACAGGGTGGTACCGTTACAACAGAAAGAAATCTGCTCCCTTCCTCAGCCCAGAGCTTGCATCCCACTGTTAGAAGAATGCATGTGAAGTACTTGGCACCTTGGCAGTACAATAGATGGCACTTATTATCATTTATTACTATGTCAACTGGGATGCCCTGGGTTTCAACCAGTCAGTGAATACAAACCCAGGCTCACCACCGTTGATGGCCAGGTTGCCTACCCTCACCTGAACCCCTGTGTCCTGCCCTTCCCCAGGTTGTTCCATGACTATAAGGGAAGGGCTGTGATTCAGGTTCCGGATGTTGTTTTCTGCTGCACCCCTGCACTGGTGTTGCTTCTGAGCCTTGATTCTACAGCTGTAGGCCCTGACTGGGCTGCCCTGACAAGGCACAGTGGTGGTGATGGAGCCACTGACACTCGGTTCCTCCTGTTGTGAGAGGCCAGGACCAAGTCTGATTCTTGTCCTGGTCACCAGGTCTTGGCTCTGCCTTCTTACTCCTTCTCTGGACACACCCCTTACCCCAACTCTGCCCAGGGCCCTGCCTGGAGCAGGCACTGTCTTTGGATTTTTGTAGCAATGGAGACATGGAAGTGTTTAAAACCTCACAATGGAGGTTTTAAGTGGAGTGGAGAGGACAACACCAAGGCCAGTAGAGACAGGGGCAGACAGACTTCCATGTGGGGGAATCGGGAAGGAGGTGGCAGTTGAATCAGGTCTTGAAGGTTTAGGCATTGGAAGTGGAGGGCCCTGTGGTGAGAGATCACAAGAGGAAACTCTAGACTCAGGGACTGAAGGAGGGGGATGGGGGCGAGGCAGAAGGGGAGAAGAGGCAGGTCTGGGCAGCCAAGTAATAATGGGATAGGGAGTGGGAGACTTAACTATTGGACCACCCATTTCTATTGGACCAAGAGCCCCAGAGCTTGGGGCTGAGAGATGACCTGGGCAGGGGCTGTATCAAGTGAGCTGTACATGGGAAATGCCTGGTAGCCTCTTCTGAGATCTATTCCTGAAATGTCTGCTGTTCATATACCTCAAGTAGACAGGAAGATAAGCAATGTCGAGTGGTATGAGGAACGTGGGGTGGGGAGAAGAGACCCCAGGTCAAGGGGAGGAGAAGACTGGGGCAGAAGGAGAGAGTGCATGGACTGGTCTCTTTTGGGAACAGGTGAACAATCAACGGCAGAGTGCATCATGCGAAATGCTGGGCTGGATAAAGCACAAGTTGGAATCTAGATTGCTGGGATAAATATCAGTAACCTCAGATATGCAGATGACACTACCCTCAGACAGAAAGCAAAGAGGAACTAAAGAGCCTCTTGATGAAAGTGAAAGAGGAGAGTGAGAAAGCTGGCTTAAAACTCAACATTCAAAAAACTGAGATCATGGCATCCAGTTCTATCACTTCATGGCAAATAGGTGGGGAAACAGTGAGAGACATTATTTTCTTGGGCTTCAAAATCACTGCAGATGGTGACTGAAGCCATGAAATTAAAAGACGCTTGCTCCTTGGAAGTAAAGCTATGACCAACCTAGACAGTGTATTAAAAAGCAGAGACATTACTTTGTCGACAAAGGTCCATCTAGTCAAAGCTATGTTTTTCCAGTAGTCATGTATGGATGTGAGAGATGGACCATAAAGAAAGCTGAGTGCCAAAGAATTACTGCTTTTGAACTGTCGTGTTGGAGAAGACTTTTGTGAGTCCCTTGGACTGCAAGGAGATCAAACCAGTTAATTCTAAAGGAAATTAGTCCTGAGTATTCATTGGAAGGACTGATGCTGAAGCTGCAGCTCCAAAATTTTGGCCACTTGATGCGAAGAACTGACTCCCTGGAAAAGACTCTGATGCTGGGAAAGATTGAAGGCAGGAGGAGAAGGGGACGACAGAGGATGAGATGGTTGGATGACATCACCAGCTCGATGGACATGAGTTTGAGCAAGCTCTGGGAGGTGGTGATGGACAGGGAAACCTGGCTTGCTGCATTGCGTGGGGTCAAGAAGAGTCGGACACAACTGAGCGACTGAACTGAATTCCGAACAACCAACTGGATGCCCAAGCCAGAAACCAGGCCATTGTCCTGGGCTCCTCCCTTCCTCCACCCCCACAACTAGTCCCTTACCACATCCAGCCAGTTCCTCCCGCAGAGGCAGACTTTCCTTTTCTTCTGACCACCCTATCTCAGCTCTCTGCTGGCCCATGAAAGCATCCTCTTGACCCTCACTGGCCTCTCCACTTCCTGGTTTCTGTTTTCCATATAGCTGCTAGAGAGGGCCTGCTAGTATTCATAGCTGATGGTGCCATTTCCCTAATGAACATTCTTCAAGTGCCTTGTGTTGGCTGTAGGCTGGAGTTACGTGGCCGGGCAAACAAGATCCTGTGTGGTCTATCCCCTTCTATCATTCATGCCTGCATTCCCCTACCTGCCAACATTATGTTTCGGCTCCTCTGAATTCTCTGTATTTTTCTAGAACATTCCCATGCTTTGCATTGCCTTGGTCTTTGACCAATTGTTTCTCTCTGTCTGCAAAATCCCCACCTACTTTATCTTCTTGGTAATCTTCTACCCAACACCACTTGATTAAGCAGAGAAGTGACTAAGTTTTTTTTTTTTTTTTTTTTGTGACTATGTTTTGACTGTACTCTGCCCAGGCTCACACAAAACCAGTTCTCAGTGCGTCATGTCATCTCTGCTGCACTCTGGAGCTGCTCCTCTCAGATAGCTCTTCCAGAAAGGACTTGCTGTCCAGCTGCCATGCTTTGGTGAGCTGACAGCTTCAGTTATAGTCTCCTTCAGGGTCAACCTCAGTTTTCCAGCTGACAGCGCATCCTTTCAGGGTTACCTCCAGCCAGCTGCCCAATTAGGTGGTGTCATAAGAGCCCAGCCACTTCCCTCCAGCACCAGATCCTCTAATGGGTGATGAACAATGTGTGCAGGCAGAGACCCCAGCAGGCCTGCGTCATAGCTGGAGAATTCTCCCTGCCCACTCCAGCATCTGCCTTTTTCTTTTCACAAGTGCTACTCACCAGTGAAACTTTTAGACTCCTTACTCCATATTAGCATCTGTTTTTAGGAGTGGCTGGAGAAATTAGTAAGATGGAGTTTGGGAAATTATCACTCCATCACCCGGCTGGCAGAGAGGCCAACATCTCATGTGGTGGGTGGAGTATGGACAGCCCCCAGCACAGGTTCTTGGTCCCATCACTAAATATTTTGCTGATGGTGACTGGTGAGAATGTGCAGGTAGAGAATAATGAATTAGCCTGTGTGATTTAAAAGATAGGCAGAGGCATTTGAAAGAAAAACATGTCTGTGTAATTGTACACACATGTGTGCACACACACATATGGGTAAGTGGGAATGAATAATTGGGTTGATAACCTACCAGCACATAATGAAAAGCTGAGGGCAATGAACAAGCAACTGAAAAGAAGTGTGAGAGCCTAAGGGTTTCTCTGGCAATTACAAAGAATTCTTCATCTTACACAGTTGATGAAGAAAAAAGAGCTGGAGATGAAAGTCAGGATTTAATAGAGTGGCTGAGTAACATAATATGGCTCCAAAGATGGCTGAATACTCATCCAAGGCAGATCTGTGGGACCCTGACACGTGGGATGGGGACTCTGGGTAGACACCCTGGAAAGTACCAAATCCCTGAATTTCTGCCTCCGAGTGATGTGACAGTAATAGGGCCAGTGACTCTTGTGATCGTGCCTTGTTTCCTTTGCTGTAAAGGAATTCCCTGGTTAGATGTTGCAGTCTGTATTTTCTTATTTCCTGTATTCTTTGGCCATACCGCATGGCTTGCAGGATCTTAGTTCCCTGACCAGGGATAGAAGCTGTGCCCCGTGCAGTGGAAGCACAGAATCCTAACCACTGGACTTCCAGGGAAATCCATGTTTCATGTATTCTTGATCCCCTGGTCTTTGGGGCCTTGATGTTGGAGAAATTGTCCCCCCAGGGCTCACTAATTCCTAGAGATAGCAAACAACTTCCCTGCAAGTGCACCTTTGATGTGAAAACCAGTCAGTCCAGAGGCCACATTCCCAGTTTTCTCCTTTATCAAACTTTCACATACCCTGTTCTAAACCACCCTATGGCCAGGTACCAATTAACTAGAATCCGCCTCTATACCCCAGAGCCCAAGGAGACCATTCAAACTATCCAACCCTAAGGTTACTCAGAGTATCTACCCTGCCTTGCCCATTCCTTCTCACAAGAACTCCCAAAAGGCTCAAGCCATGCTCTGCCCCTCTTCTGCCTCCTGACCAACACTGGTCCTTCTTGAAATCTGTGAGTATAAATTTCTTCCTTCATGACACTCATTTTCATATCTGCAGGTCTCACTGTATTCAATTAAAGCAAATCCTTGGGGCTTCCCTGGTGGTCTAGTGGTTAAGAATCTGCCTGCCAATGCAAGGAACAATGCAATGTTCGATCCCTGGTCCAGGAAGATTCCATGTGCCATGGAGCAACTAAACCTGTGCGTCACAACTACTGAGCCCATCCATGAGCCTAGAGCCTGTGCACCACGAGAGAATCCACCCACTTGCTGCAACTAGGGAAAGCCTGTGTGCAGCAACAAATACCCAGTGTAGCCAAAAAGAAATAAATTAATAAATTTAAAAAATCCTCAGTACAGTCTTAGAAAAGATCCATGTTGTACAGGATTCCTCATCTGTGAATCAGTCATCCTATAACTACTAATGCTGTATTTCATGCCTTGTGGGCACGAAAGGCTAACCTACAAACCAATACTAGGCAAGATAGATAACTTATCTATTACTGTGAGTCAAACTGTTGACTTTGGGGATAGAAGGGACCTAGTGCAGTCAACCTGCTACTGTGTGGCTGGTCGGTCTCCTCCACACCGAGCACTGGTCTCTGTTGCTGGCAGATCGGACATTCAGAGGCAGCAGCAGCTAGACTGTCCTTGGTAAGAGTGAATG